CGGCATCGTAGTCGGCATCATCAGTGAGCTTTGCCATTCTCTGCACCAAGCTACGAACTCGTCAAAGAGATAAAGTTTGCCACAAAAGGGCACACATTTTGACGAGCGGAATGTAAACAAGTGAGAAGTTATGATAAGGCGGCAGTGGGATAAGAGTGTAAAGAGTAGATATATAGGCCATGACAGAAATAGGAGTGATAGTTAACCGTTTTCGGTAGAACGGTTGTCGAGGGATTGACTTCACTTGTCTCTGACGAGTTCGTAGCTTTGTGCGGAGAATGGAAAATCACACTGATGATGCCGACTACGATGCCGGACGAAACGTTTGAGAATGTACCAAGTCCACTGTCTGATGCTGGGAATCATGACAACTACTATGGCAGACGAAATGTTTGAGAATGTATCAAGTCCACTGTCAGATGCTGGGAATCATGACAACTACTATGGCAGACGACTTCAGACTAGATGCGTTCTACATAGTCGCCCTCACAACAATAACAAGTTGCGACGAGGTCCGCCCACTTCTTTAAAATAGTGTTTATAGGTTTTTGCTGTTTTATGAGGTCAAGCAGAATTAGAAGTAATTGAATTATAAAAGGTAGAGTTTGATGAGAATTTGGCTTTGGAGCGAAGAAATGAATTTTTCCTCTATTGCTCATAGTTTTCAAGTTTGGTACCAGTGAAATCTAGCAAAACATAACTATTATGATTTCTCGCTATAAGTTTAATGCATATTCATAAATGCTATCCCTTATGTAGTAGAGCCAATGTAAGGCGAAAGATAAGATAGACGTGGCCTGTATAGATGGATGAGCCAGTACCTTCCGTTTAGATATTTCAGGTCCAAGCGCAAGTTGACGTTATACCAAGGTCTGATCGAATCGGAAGGCAAATAGGGCCTGAAAAAGAGAGTATAAAATGGTTTTTAGATGCTTAGTATGTTATGAAACTAATCAGACTGCATATTAGCAAAGCATTAATTGCTTGCTCAAGCAAACTAAATTTCTGTTTAGTGAGCTAGCAAAAAAATGCTTATCCGGATGGAAATAAATATATTTCCGTTCACTTACTAGCTCAGCTATGAACTCACTAACAATTCCAACCACCTAAATTCTCCTCCACGATTTTTATGTAATAAAAGGCTGGAACATTTATTGGAATCGGAGCAAGTAACCACAATCCAAGGAAGTAGAACTAAGGTATGGGCATTTATAAAACTAATCATACATTGAACCAAGTTGTGTTAGATAAAACTGTACCTCAAATTTTATGACTAATCATTTATAAAAATTGCCTAGCTTCGAGAGAATAAGGAGTCAATCCTAGAAACGTCTTGGTAAGATAATATAAGATGTTACTTAATAATAAGTAATATGAAAGGTCATCACAATTCTTCTAAACGGTTTAGTAGCTAATGGCCAAATAAATGTATCCTGCAATCAACCCGCCAATAAATTCACCTGAAGATAATTATTCTAACCCATCAATATAGTCTATTCAGCGTTCCAACACATTTGAATAAGAATTACATATTAGTTTAAAGTCAACTGCTTCAAATACTTTTCTTAGTATCCATTAGTTCATCCTCAAATAAACTAATAAATTCGAGCATATATGATTATAATATGATATATTTTCCAATAAACAGCTTATAGCAAACACACACCTTGGCTTCAGGACCATTCCTGGATCCCTGCTGATCCAGATCTGATGAACAGAGATGGTCAAATAATGTATCTTTTACGTCCTGAACCATCTCACTTGGCTGATGCTGGTCATTATCGGAAAACTGGGCAGTCGTCTGATGTTGTTGGTCACTTGGAGAGCCTAGTGCAGATTGGTCAGCAAGCAAATATTGTTGGTGCTGTGGTTGATGTTGAAAATGTTGTCTGTGCTGGCGTATGTGATTGTATGTGGGTTGTCCAATGTAAGGAGGCTGAGGACTGGTGAGGCAAGTCGAAGAAGCAGCGATTGACCCGCCATTTGCTGATAGTGGGAGGGTGAAAGAGCCTGCAGATAGAGTAGAGCAGCCAGATGAACACGAACCGACAGAAGCCACCGCTTGGCCGTGACCGTGATATGTGCTAGTGGTGCTGATCCCAGAGAATGAAAGTCCTCCTTCGGGGGTGTGCGGAGTTTCTCCGGAGCCTGGGTTGCTAGGAGACCCGAAGCAACCCGTTCCAGTGGCACAAGTCAAGCTTTTGCCACCACAAGCCCCAGCAGAAGTAGAGGTCGTCGATGAAGCAGGAGTGATGGCAGTCCCAAGGGCAGAACAGGCAGAAGAGATCGACGAAGAATAAGAAGAGGGTGATAAAGAGGAGGATACGATCACAGTAGCGACTGTGGAAACAGGCCATTGACCATCAGCTGGAATGCCCAATTGGGGCGAGGTCTTTTCGGAAGAGCCAATCAACGATTCTCGTTCTGGGTCAGTTGCGGATTCAAGCTCGGTTGGAACAGCAAGTAACACACCGGAAGGACAAGAGTGCTCAGTAGAGTATCGTCCGAGAGGGAGAGGGTTGTCCTCGCGATGAAAGGAAGAAGAGGAAGATAGAGGAGCAGAATCAAAAAAAGGTGGCGAGATAGCAGATTCAGGAAGATGACAATAGCAAGCCAGATTGGAATCAAGTGCTGGAGGAAGCGAAGACTCGAACTCCGTTTCATCTATATAAAAATGAAAAAAAGTATCATTATTAATGAAAACAGTAACTAAATAAAAATTAATGTATGACTAATATCAGTCAGAAAATAGAGTATTGAAGCATTAGGTAGATAATAATCAATTGGCCTGTCCTTGTTACCCAACTTGGTCGTGGTGGCAGGAAGACATAGAACACATAACGTAATGCATCATCTGCGTCATAATTACTCCCAGCATCGGACCAGTGGCTGATTAAATTCGTAGATGACATCCTGATTAAGCAGCGCCAGTATTAGCATCTAGGTCTGGCTAACGAAACTGTTCAGTAATTATTATTGTTTCGAAGTATCGGATATAATAGATTTTAAGCAATAAATTCTACATCAGTATAAGAACTACGGATAACTATAGACAATCCTAGATCTTTCAAAACAATAAAGATGTACCAATATGAGACTTAGAATAGTTAATCAATTCGATAAAAGCAAGCAACTCAGGCAACGAATAAAATAACGCTAGAAGCTCATAAAAGACATTGATTCGATTCACTTGATTAAGAAAAATTCAAATGCAAATATAAGAATGATGCTGATTTTCTTCCCTTGGTTTTCGAAATTCCCTCCTCTTTTTTTATCGCGATCCCTTTTCCTCCGATTAACGATATATCATTAATCCAGGCATTTCCTTTTTGCTGATCATGCTGTATTCTTGTTTTCACCTAGTTTGCTTAGGCAGTAGGCAAAGTTATCATTAACTCTGCCTTCCTCCAATTTCCTGTTCATAAGATTTTTTACCCAAGTATGTCTATGGTCTCCCTAATCATTAG